TAGGGTTAGGGATGGGGATAGGGTTAGGGATAGGGATAGGGATAGGGATGGGGATGGGGATGGGGATAGGGATAGGGATAGGGATAGGGATAGGGATAGGTATAGGGATAGGGATAGGGATAGGGTTAGGGATAGGGATAGGGATAGGGATAGGGATAGGGATAGGGTTAGGGATAGGGATAGGGATAGGGATAGGGATAGGGATAGGGTTAGGGATGGGGATAGGGATAGGGATAGGGATAGGGATAGGGATAGGGATGGGGATGGGGATAGGGATAGGGATAGGGATAGGGATAGGGATAGGGATAGGGTTAGGGATTTTTCAGCAAAATTTTGATCATTTTGTTTGATATATTTTGACAGTTACTAATGTACCTTGTTGAGGATGTAAACATAATTGATTTCTGTCGTATTGTCTCCCTCTCTGTGGTTGGCTGTTCCCTCAGGTCTGGGGATGACACCTGCGCCCTCTGTCAGGTTGGTCCGTAAGTCCAATGAAATCACCTGTTTGTTGTGGGTTGAAAGAAAAAACAGTGACTATGTAACAGTTGGGGGTTTGTAGGCGCTACCAACTGACCCAGCCAATGGGTCTAGACCTTTTAGCTCACTCAGTTGGAGCATCTGACTGTGGCCCGGGAGCCGTGAGTTCAAATCCGGCCCGGGACCAAGGGGTTTTTATCTGTTTCTACTGTCTCCTCCTGGTTTCTTATACTGGTTCCCACACCGGCCCTGTGAGTTCTGGCAAAGAGTGCCGCTCCAGGGATGTCGAATTCGGAAGATTCGAGGACGAATCTTGAAAAGAAAAGGGGGGTAGTGTAACAGTTGGGGGTTTATAGGCGCTACCAACTGACCCAGCCAATGGGTCTAGACCTTTTAGCTCACTCAGTTAGAGCGTCTGCCTGTGGCCCGGGACCCGTGAGTTCGAATCCGGCCCGGGACCAAGGGGTTTTTATCTGTTTCTACTGTCTCCTCCTGGTTTCTTACAACTAGATTGCACAACGATACACTTTCCTTGTGATGCTATATGCTAACTTCTTTTACCGACACTTTGAGTTAATATACAGGCATGGTCCCTTTTTCATCTAGGACAGTCACTCAGAAGTTAGGGCAATGTGTATAGCCTGATGCTATTGGCATGATGATCCTGTCAACAGTGCAGATTTTTCTGTTATTGACCGGATCATCCTGTCAAGAATGCATCTTTTCCTACTATTGACAGGATGATCCTGTAAATAATGTAATTTTTCCACTATTGACAGCATGATCTACCCAAAGGAGGTAGTATAAAAGTTTGTACATAGCATGTTTTTATATTCTAGTGTCTCACCTGACCAAAGGCAGACACACCCTTGTCCGTGCGCCCACACCGGTGGTAGTTAGACGTCTGTCTCTTCTCTATCAGCCTTGTCTTGGTCAGAGCTTCGAACAGCCGTGCCTCGATGGTGTTGTCAGTGGTGTCCTGACTCTGAAACCCGTCATAGCTCCACCCTAGGTAAGCGATCTTCAGAGCCACGTGTCTCGCGTTGTACTTTGTAAAATCAAACTTTCTCTGTGGTTTTTGTTTCCGCTGTTTCTTCTGTATTACCAACTGTTCTGTTGTTGTGTTGTTGGTGCTTTCTAGCCTTGATACAATCTCCTGGAGTTGGTTTACTTTGACGATCAGTTCCTCTCTCGTAAGCTCTTCGGGTTTTCGAGTTTCGGAGAGGGCCATCGTGTAGGTGGGGAGGGGGGCAACTTTCTAGCGCTACGGACCCAAAAAGTTACACCTACCGGTATCTTGGATGTGTCGACAGTATGCAGAAAAAACACAAAAACACGAGAATTATACTTGAAAAAGGGACCCTAGCAAGGAAAGAACCGCGAAAAACTTTCTGGCACTGACATACATGCAACTTCCGCTATGTGTGCGAAATGCCGCAAACGAAATGGAAGAATCTATTCAGTTTTGGAGGGAGACCACTGCAAATTTATCCAAGTTGAATCAGTCAGAAGTCTTTTTCTATCGGAAACCAGGCACACCAGCCTAGTTATTGTTGTTGTGTCATTCAGCACCAGGGACACCAGTCTTGGTGTGTCATTCAGCACCAGGGACACAAGTCTTGTTGGTGTGTCATTCAGCACCAGTGACAGGGACACCAGTCTTGTTGGTGTGTCATTCAGGGACACCAGTCTTATTGGTCTGTCATTCAGCACCAGGGCACCAGTCCTGCTGGTGTGTCATTCAGGGACAGGGACAGGGACACCAGTCTTGTTGGTGTGTCATTCAGCACCAGGGACAGGGACACCAGTCTTGTTGGTGTGTCATTCAGCACTAAGGACAGGGACACCAGTTTGTTGGTGTGTCATTCAGCACCAGAGACAGGGACACCAGTCTTGTTGGTGTGTCATTCAGCACCAGGGACAGGGACACCAGTCTTGTTGGTGTGTCATTCAGCACTAACTTGTAAGGAGCACCAGGGACAGGGACACCAGTCTTGTTGGTGTGTCATTCAGCACTAACTTGTAAGGACAGGGACACCAGTTTGTTGGTGTGTCATTCAGGGACAGGGACACCAGTCTTGTTGGTGTGTCATTCAGCACCAGGGACAGGGGCACCAGTCTTGTTGGTGTGTCATTCAGCACCAGGGACAGGGACACCAGTCTTGGTAAGCCATTGAATACTTGACAATAAGGGGAATCAACACTACACCTGAGCCAAAATACATGTCAACATGAAAACATTTATTGTGTTTTAGCCCAGCTAAAATTCCAGGTATAAAGATGTATACAGCATTTTACATTGATATGTACACATGTTAATGTCTTCCACATCCACTTTGTTTGTCTATATACTGCACATGAAAATACATATAGTAGGAAATAGTAGTTTGACCAATGAGAGGTGGCTCATTCAATGGATAAATGTACACAGCATTACACATGTTTATTTGATATGTACAAAAGTTACTGTATTGCCACATCCACAATGTATAATACACATGATTAGCACACAATAGACTGATAACAAAACAGAGTGGCTCATTCAATGTATCAAATTTACACAGCATTACTCATATAGTATATTTGATAATTATGTACAAAGGTTTTGCCACATCCACCACATTTGTAAATTACACATGATATAGACATGGTTTACTGGCAATGAAACACATTAACAATGCAGTGTGTGTCTGTTGGTGTAGTGACTAATACTAGACTGCTGGTACGGCAAATAGCGGTATGACCAAATGAGAGTGGCTGCATGTGCATATTAATAATTTGCATTTTTTTATTATTTTGTTTTGATGGAGGTGGGTGGAGCCATAGGATTGTTCTATAGAGACTTCATCTTAGGTAGTGACATAAAGGGGAAAAAAGATTTTTTAGGAAAATTAACTGCAACCAGATCCCCAAATGTATATTTTTTGCCTGAAAATGGCCAATAAAACCAAATAAAACAGTTTTAAAGGCCTGTTCCAAGAAAATTAAATAAAAACAATGTCTGCGGGTATATACCCACTCTACCTCCATGCCAAATTTCAGGTCATATGGCTGAAAAAAGTTGAATCCATTTTAAGAAATGGCAGGAGGAGAAGAAGAGGCCATAATGAAACAATACCCCCAAAATGTTTTTAAAACTCTTTAAGAATGAGAAAAGATGCTATATGAAAATGTTCAGTCACACAAACGGCGCATGAGGCAAACCCACTTCAGTCGGAGAGGGCCACACAGTACATCTCCACTTCAGCCAGGGCGGTTCCAGATTGGTACAGGATCTCCCCACACAGACAGCACAGACACAAGGCCCCGCAGACTAGCCCTACCTCCCCCACTGCTGACAAGCGGACATGACTGTGGGGTCCGGGGAGGATGGGACCCGATTCCCGACGTCAACTCCCCGGACTACAGAGTCATGTCCGCCAGATGGTGCAGTAGGAGGAGGTAGAGGTAGTAAGCAGGGCCGAGTGTCGGCCGTCTGTGGGGTTGACCCCGCCCGCCCCTTCCCCACCCAGCTGCAGTATAGAGTACTGTCTGGTCTGGTTAACTGTAGTGGGTTTGCCATGAGGACACTGTCAATCAGTGCCAAATTTTACACTTTCATGTAACATATCTGGCCAGTAAGGACTGAAATAGCTGTTATAGTGAAGTGAAGTTAGTTTTAAAAAATTAAAGATGTTTCACCAATAAAATATCAAGACCATATTTTGTGAAGTTACTAGAAATCAACTTAGGAATATTGACTTTGGCATTGAAAAAGCTTGAAGTGAAATTGTCAAAAGGCAAATGTGTTATTTTACTAATAAAATGTATTTTGACAAAATTCAATCTTTAGAGACTTTTGATCACAGAGTGTGTCATAATGGAGTGAAGTATGTCACATAGATGTTGGATTTGATTTGCTAGGGATAATTTTACATGTAGGTGGACTGTTAGAAAGGGACTTTTCACTGTACATAACATCCACACAATACTGAAGTTTTGTGCCGGTACATCATGAGCTCTTGCATGCCTTTTACATCACAATTTTTTGACCAGACAACTGATAAACCTTTTCACAATCTTTGGAAAAAACTTACAAAAGAAATGTGCAAAAGAAATGTGCAGTATCTGCTTTCTTCATTTGGCATATACCAGGTTGTTACTATGTTTAATAGACGTCATTTTTCCTGTACAGTGACGACAGTTGTGTTAACTTGTGTATGGCTTGTGTGAAAGTGTGCGTGCGTGTGTGTGTTGCATGTTTGGCCTCCCGTGAAGCATGGGCTGAATCTTCAGGGAGACCAAAACATGCGTGTAAGGGTGTGTGCATGTGTGCGTGAGTGCATGACATGTTCGGCTACCTGGCCAGGTCAGGGCAAACTGGACACAGGTAACCAAATCATGTCTGTGTAAGTGTGGGTGCGTGTGTGTGTGCGCATGCGCGTGTATGTGTGCACGTCGCTGGCTGTACTGTCTACGGCGTTACAGTAGCAATCCTGTGGTGTTACCAGATTGGCCAGACAGGGCAGTACAACGGAAGGTTTCCATTGCATGCCTGTACCACTGGTACAGTCTAGTGCAGGCTAAGTGCTCAGGACCAAAACACCAGGGTACAGTAGAGAGCAGCACCTTACAGTGTCTACTCTAGAAATCCTGAGGATTCTGGACTGGCAGAAATGGAATTTTTATTGTACATAACATCCACACAATACTTAAGTTCTGTGCCGGTGCATCATGAGCTCTTGCAATTGCCTTTTACATCACAATTTTTTGACCAGACAACTGATAAACCTTTTCGCAATCTTTGGAAAAAACTTACAAAAGAAATGTGCAGTATCTGCTTTCTTCATTTGGCATATACCAGGTTGTTACTATGTTAGACGTTATTTTACCTGTACAGTGACGACAGTTGTGTTAACTTGTGTATCTGTGAAAGTGTGCGTGCATGTGTGTGTTGCATGTTTGGCCTCCCATGAAGCATGGGCTGAATCTTCAGGGAGACCAAAACATGCATGTAAAGGGTGTGTGCATGTGTGCGTGAGTGCATGACATGTTCGGCTACCTGGCCAGGTCAGGGCAAACTGGAGACAGGTAACCAAATCATGTCTGTGTAAGTGTGGGTGCGTGTGTGTGTGCGCATGCGCGTGTATGTGTGCACGTCGCTGGCTGTACTGTCTACGGCGTTACAGTAGCAATCCTGTGGTGTTATCAGATTGGCCAGACAGGGCAGTACAACGGAAGGTTTCCATTGCATGCCTGTACCACTGGTGCGGTCTAGCGCAGGCTAAGTGCTCAGGACCAAAACACCAGGGTACAGTAGAGAGCAGCACCTGACAGTGTCTACTCTGGAAATCCTGAGGATTCTATCAGTTAAAACATTGAAGTTTATTTTATCACTCTTTCTTCTTTCAATAGTCTCAGAGTTTGCACTATTGTTTTAATGTGGTTTACTCCACCGGGTCCTGAGGTTTCCATTTCTCCTATTATTTAAACCTCAATCAGGTGACATACAGCCTGGATTGTTTCATCTCACCTCAGTATTGGGACGTTTTTCCTGCACGTCCTATAACTGTTGACAATGGAGATTTCATGAAGTCCACTGTCACAAATGGTGAACTACAGTATTGTCACAAATAGTGACCACTAGTTCATCTTTTCACAAATTCTCAAATGACCCTCCCATTGTAGTAGCTTGTACTTTCTAGATGAACTCGGGATCATTTGATTTGTCCAATGGTTTTCATCGACAGAGTTGAGCTTCCATCACTCTAAGTTTCACTAGGCTGGCATAATTGGCCTGTCCTCCAGTAATTTTTCTCACCTCCGTACTAGTAAAAAAAGAGGAGCACTTCCAGCAATGCAGCCTGATGTGGATTTAAATCTTACAGAAAACGCACTAGTGTGCTGTGAAGAGCAGCATCTCTCAGTGGTCTAAATATCACCGCAAGTGGACTCCACTCTTATTGCTTAGTCCTGGGTGTAACATCCACCTTCACATACAGTAGATTGATGGCTACTGTTAAGATATTCACACACACCCCAAAGGGAAACCCCCTCTTTCAGGACATGTACAGCCCCTACTGGAGAGGTAAAGGTTATTTACTGTGTGCGGGCCACACTCCTGGTGGCCTCCCTTTGGATCAGCAAATTACTACTTATAAAATATTGCAAGTTGTTGGAACCACTAAGAATTCTAAGTCCTAAGTAGGGTGTGTTTGAATGCTATTTGATGAATATAATAGCAGGGTTGTTGCAAGATGACACAAATATGCAACAACGGTACTAGCAAACACACCCCTGATCTTACTAATAAAATGACTATTGAAATGTCCATTACACACAGAAGTTGATGGCCTTTAGATGAAATTTTCAGGCATACTCGTGTGCTGTGGACATTTCTCTAGCCAGACTTGGCCCTGATACATCCCTCATTTGCAGGTGTGTGGTTTTTCGTCCCTCCCATATCTTACTGCAACTAGATTTCAACAAAGATAAAGCTCCTTTTTTTCCCACTCTGCACCTTCAATGGTCAAACATGAGAAATGATGATGTATGTTTCAAACTTTTGTAATGTCCTTAAAGCAATTGGACTGATTATAAATTTTATACTAAAGGGGTAGGAGAAATAGGGAAGTTTTGACCTGGTATATAAAACAAAGGGAAATTGGAAGGTTTCTAGGGGTTTCCATGAAAACTTAACTTGAGAACTGTAAGCTTCTGCAGTGTTTTGGAACCACCATGTGCACTATGAGGGGTGGCAGGGCGACTGGTGTACTTAGTGTTTCTGCGCAGGGCCGCTCGGACTCTCACAGCGGCGCTTCTGGGACCGGCTGCCTCTCGTCCTGCGGCGTGCTGCTCGCTTCTCCGTTGCCATGGCATTGTCGGACTTCGCAGTCTCAGCAGGCTTTGGGTTCCTCCGCTGGGATGACAAAACGTGTCGATGATTAGTGTTTGGAGAAGTCATGGTTATGTTAATACATGAAGTATCCTTGATTTTTTTACTCTCCAAACAAGAAAACAATTTAATGAGAAATTTTCATTACAGGTGCATCTACGACTTTGCTACTTTCCTGCACTAAAAATTGGTGACAAAAGTTTTATTCTAAATTTAAGATTATCAGCATATGTTAGAACTTACTGAGGAGCGGCCAGTGGTGTTGCTGGCTGCTGCAGTTCCCTTCCCGGTCAGACTGGGGCGCTGTGGTGCCAGAGCTGGCAGCTTGGTTGCTATGGGGCACAGATTGGTAGCAAAGTAGCATAGTAAAAATGAATTTCAAGACATTGCAATGTTTTTCATAGGAATGAATATGAGTTTAACCCATTAAACCTTCCCCTGATAAGATCTTGATGTCAACCAGTTAAAGTTTGGACATTTGAAATCAGGAATGACTAACTGATAACAGGCACTGTTCAAAAAAGTAAAATCAAGATATTAGGTGTGGCCAATTTGATTTCTTGGTCCTCAGAATGAAGTGGACAAATCCGAGAACCAAGAAATCAAATTGCTGTGGCCTGAAGTTTTCAAACTCTCACCAGTCCTCTCAGGGGAGATGTCCTTGGTGGCTGCTTGCTTCCGTCCGTTGTGGCGGACCTCTTCCAGAGTGACGTAGACGGCCTCTTCATCCTCATCGGGATACATCCGGTACTGCGTGTCCTCCGCTCCGTTCTGTCCGCTGACCAGACTGGGCTGCGGGGGCGCTCGGCGGCTTTTGGAAGACTTCTTGGACGGGTCGTCGCCAAACATGGCAGTTGTGCGCGCCATTCGGAGCCGCTGATGATCGTGGTTCAAGGGCACGGCGAAGTGGCGCTCCCGCTCGACTTCACGGATCTTCTCCGGTGCGCGGACCTTCTTGCCTCGTCTGACGTACAGCTTTGATGTGCTTCTGTCTTCCCCAAACTTCTGAAGGTTGACTTTCCTCTGGTAGACTCTCTCTGCATGCTCGTCCAGGGCTCTGTCACGCTCTTCCTCAGTAGGGGACGATCTCGCATATCTTAAGACACAAGTCAAGAAGCATACTCTCTTTAGTACCTCATGAGAAATGGCTAGATATCAGGATAGATGTCTATTAAGAATGATACAAACTCTGCTAATAATCACATGTTGTGTAGCTACAAGAACCCAGTGTATATAAAATGTAAAGCTGATATACATGTAGTAATATCAAAGATTAGATCATACTGCTGTCTTCACACCATGTAGTTAAATGCTGACCTGTTCCTGTTGTTGATAGGGAGCCTCTGAGGTCTGTGGCGTCCGTCTTGCTGATCGTGAGTTGCCTGTTGCTGAAGTCTGCGGGTTTGGCGCTCGATGTCCTGCAATGCCTGGTCGACTGTCTGACGGGAGGGGAGGGGGGTGGGGGCGCGGTGCGACTGGTAGGACTCACGGAGCTGGAGTAGTCTTTGGTAGGCCATAGTGGCTCAAATATGTATCTGGAATAACATATATCATTCATTGAAATATTGAAAATGCATTGAAAATATAGCCACTATTTCCCCTGGTGTTCTAGAACGATAAACTACCAACAGAACTTCCAGTCTTTTGCTTGACAAGGTGAAACTATTATTAGAGTAGAAAACGTATTTACAACACCACTAGCGCATATTTTACCCTTCAACTCTCTACTTTATGATACATAAAGTTTTCATTAATTCACTTCTCTACCCAAACGCCTTAGCTCTCGCTAAAGGAAAAAGCGAGTCAAAGAAAAAGTTTTGCGACTTTTCGAACTTCAAGTGCAGCAGCAAAGGGCTATAAAACTGCTTACCGTAATTTAACCAGAAACTGCTGAGTTGTGTTGGACTTGTAATGTTACTGTAGATGGCTGGATGTTGTGTTCCTAAGGCTTCTGTACCGGTGCGATCTTCTTTAGTTCAGGCTGTCATAGCTTGTTAGTTGTAGGTTGTTTTGTCGACTGTCCGGTGTCAACAACTGCTGCACTCTCGTTCTATACAATATGGCGTCTCCTCAAACTCTCTCTCAAGTCAGAGGGCGTCCTTTCGACGCCGATAACCTCCGATTCTGATCAACCTAACCCGGTCCCATGGTGGATACTGTTGGAAGATGATGTGAGCAATATTTGGGGGACTTTCTGCGGGTTAAAACGCCGTCTGACAGCTAGAAACGTGAGTTTTATGGGGAGCCTGAAGAGCACACAGCCGTACGGTAGCTCAGTTGTCACGATATTCTAGACGTGACGTCACGATTGTTCGAACAATCAGGTTGCCCGGCAACGGGCTCAGGTTACGGCAGGGAAGCAACCAATAAACAAACTAACTTGGTAATAAAACAAACAAATTTGCACATTATACAAGTTCAATGAAGATGAAATGAGTTTATTGCGGGTGCTATAATAGGAATTATCACAGTAATGTGTGTGGTGATTTAAAACTAGCACGAAAATGAAATCTATCCCTCGTGGTGGCGATGCCACATTAGTCAGCGTTATGGGTGGAAATACATGTACAAACTTACACGCACACCATTTACAAGTTTTCTCGTCCAGTTTTCCTTAACAACCTACACTAGCGACAGAGTTGGTATACCAGTCGTCAACAGCTAGCTTCGCTGCCCAGGTGTGGGGCTACCATGTGTAATGACACACCGGTAAAGGTTTCCCTGTCCTTGGTGCTGAATGAGATATCGGGACGTTTCGCCGTACATTAGACGATTCGCCGACGAATTCAAGCAGTTACATATTGACAATGACTGCCATATTTGTCAAAGCATTTTTAGAATGATGCCGTATATAAAGGATATTGTGCACTGAAATGGGAATAATGCCCAAATGCAACTATCAGAACAAGCAGTTTGTTTGTTTGTTTGTTTTTCTTGCAAAATATGATACGTTGCTAGTGAATACGAATCGTTATGAACTATTAACCACTGACTATTAAAGGTGTACATTTCATACATACGTTGAACTTAATTAACAGTGGGGCTCTAAATTACTAGGTTATCGGTCAGTGCAGTGTCTAACATGTACAGTTGTGTAATAAGAGAAATTTACTTTTACAGATAAGCAGGCTTCTACCACGAAAGAACAAATCCCCAAACAATTAACAGTTATGTGTTTAGTACCCTATCACCCTTTTTCTAAAAGAAAATTAAGAGTCATGCTATGTTGACATAAAATATCAGTCTGACGCATAATTATGTTAGACTCGACAGTGCCTCCCACTGTTGTAAAGGCTTGGCTAGATGGTTACTTGTTTGTAGGATCTGTGGAGAAATGAATAGAGATTGGATTTCATTAGCAAATACCCCTTTAAAAAGGGATATATATGTTATTCAAAGGTAATAGTTCATTCAATGAGATGTCTAGTGAACCTATTGCTTGCTTGTCAAGCTGAACTTTCAGTCGTCTTATTAATGTTTTGTATTTCTTTGCCCATTACAACTTGACCTTGTAATACGAACCTGATGGTACGATTTGGCAGATGAACTTCATGATGCTGAGACACCCAGAGTCATTCCAGCTGTATTGGTCAATCCACCAGTACAGGACGCAGTTCTGGACCTCTGTCCAGTTCTTACTGGACTGGCGACCCTCCGACCACATGTTGAAGTCGTTGCCTGTTTGCAAAAACAGTGACAAAAACAAGGAAGAAAATGAATACAACTGAGGCGGCCAGAGGCTGAAAAGTTTACACACACAACCCTAACTTTGCCGCCCAAAACAATACTTCCCCTTACCGTCTAGTTCGGTTCCGTCTATCCATTCCCATTTACCGTCTTCCCGCTGATCGTGCAAGCCGAACCAGAAGTTAGAGTAGGAGTCTACCGCCTGGATGAGGGAGACGAGGAAGGCGTTGATCCCGGAGTCCCGGGGCATGGCGAGGGTGCCTCCGTCGGCACGGCAGGCAGCACCCGATTCGTAGAACTTTTTGCGTGTGTCATACGCCTTGTAGCAGACTTCGCGGTATTTCTGGTAGCCGTTTGGGCAGAACGCTGTAAAACAGGTTCCGTTCATAGGTTAGGCATGTTCCAACATATTTGAGTAAATCTCAAATGGTTGGCAAGTATTGGTCCTCAACAGTTTTGATTGATTTTCATTTTTTTTTTATTTTAGATCTCATGGTCACACTTTTACTACGAAATCCAGTTTTATTTGTATGTCTTTTTGATTTGTACATCCATGTGATTTTCAGAAAGTTGCTATGAAGTTCAAACTCATAAGCAATGCTAGCTTGTATCAGTTTAGCTTTCTAGTCTGGCTTCCCAACCACTTTGTGTTGTAGACCATGGGTTTAACTATGACAGGGATGTAGGATACCATGCTATAAGCATATACAAACTTCTTAGAACAAATGATCTTACAGACTGGTCGGTCAGTAGCAGCATGTACTTCCTCCGATTCGTCCTGCTGTTTTTTGACGCCAGCTTCCAGCTTCTCCAGTCGCTGCAGTATCTGGTGCTCAGTCTCCAGGGTGCCTGACAGGTTAGAGTTGGTCAGTCGCTTTCCCGGAGCTCCTGAAATGCCCTCTGCCACTCGCAGTGTCTGTAAAAAAACAAGGGCAAGGGTCAACATGGCATTTTAATGTTTACCGAAGGAAAACATTGTTTTTGCCCAGTTTCTTCGGCTGATTTGACAAAAAATGAATACTATGCAACAACTACAACAATACAAACAACTATTACAACAGTTTTACCTTACCTTTTGCACCCTTTCAATCACATTTGAAAGGTCAGCAATGGTTGTTTCGGTGTTCTCCTCTAGCTGATTCATTGACAGTTTCAGGTTCATCACTGTCACCCCTGAACAAATGAAAATAGAAGGCATGTTATAGATACCTTACATTACCGTAAGATTGATCTTACGAGGTAACTATCCAGACGCAATGTAGAGAAATACAACAAAACTTACCCAGAAAGATAACCGCCCCCACCAGACAGCAGTTCAGCACTATGGACAGCGCGGAGATGGTTTTCTTCACGGCGCTGGTCCAGACTCGGGACTGGCCGGGGTTTCTCATGCCGACCCCTGGGATGTAACCAGCGGTGACATCATCGGTAGATGTGTCTGTAGCTGTAAAGACAGATGGTGTGTTTGTTTGAGGGGGTGTCTACTGAATGAAAGTATGCAATATCTTTGGGGGTACAGTTAAGAGATCACAAGCGGAACAAAATTTCGCTGAAGAAAATTTCTTGCATATGCCAATACTATAGCTATACCTTAACATCGTGCAGTTCCGTCGTGTTTTGCCAGGGATTGAAAAAAATAGCGTTCTTCCAGCAAAGATCAAGAGAACTGCAGCCAATCACTCAATGCATTACTCGTAACAATATTCAGGCGAAAATCTACACAGACCTGATTAATTTTTTTCTCGACATTTTTGCAAGAATTTATACCCAAAGTGCAGCACCAGTGCCACAGAATAAATACTGTACCCGGCGATCACAGTTTCCATTGTTTCCAATGTTAATTATTGTCTGGCATAGAAACGTGCCTACTTATCCATAACCATGCCCGAACATGGTCCTGGGTAACGCACGGTTCTGGATAAAACACTACGATCAGAGGTCTTGGGGTTGGGTCTTATATATTCATTTGTTTGGTATGTAGCTATTCTGATGAGAAATTTAAGTTACACGTGTATATAATGCTATCATTAGAACAAAGTGAGTAAAAAATGTACATGTAGTCATTGTTGAGTAGTTTTTAACGAAAATAGCATTCGAATTCATTCTACGTTAGTTAGATATTGTATGTATGGTTAATAATTCCATTTTTATCTGTAGTTTCACTTTTATTAAGACGAAATTGTGTCGTCTTGATGGTTTTGTCAACAATGGTACATTCACTACGGCGTATGTTGTCCCTGGAATGTGACTGCCATACCTTCAGACGTTCCTGTAGCGTTCTTCAGGTCCAGTGCCCTCCTCACGACCGGAACTCCCGATGGGGAGACCGTAACGTTACCGGCCTCCTCATAGTCGTCACCAGTCTCCCCGCAAGTCGCGTAGACATTGCAGGCTTCCTTGTAGACACTTTCCGACATGTTGGAAGCAGCCCTAGTCCGCTCTTCTCCCAGACACATCTAGCGCCTACCCCCGCATACGTCAACCTTCACTCACTTTTCCCAGTTTTTATGTAACATCACGTGTACTCACAATGCCAGTATGACAAGCAGACAATCACAATTGTCTGCTACCTTGCCATACTCTCTATTAATAGAGGTTTAGAATGTAGGCTTCGGCGTATTTTTTACACGGAAAATTTTGAAAATTTAACCTTCTGAACTGCACTAGCATTTCCTGCGTTCTTGAGAGGATTTCTAAGGAAAAAAAATTTATTCAATGACAAAAGAAGTTTTTCTAGGATTCCAGCCCCGCTGGTGATTCAAAGCAGTCAAATCAGTCTTTTAAAGAAAAATCTCGGGATCTTTAGATAAAAAATGGACCTTTGACCCTTTCTCTTCCGAGCCCCCAGAACCCCCAAGGCTACGGGCATGGTTTTGGTATTATCAGATACTGTCTTGCCATTTTGATACTGTCTTTCAACCACAAAAAAAGATCTGCTTGGTGACTATGCATATGTTTGCCAGGCTACCTGGAATATTGCCTGAATAAAATCATCAGAGTTCTATATCTAGAACGGTAGAACCGTACATGCGCACTTCTGCTGATTTCACGTTGCCGAGAAAAAAGTTTTATTAGAAATTAATCGGCGGCCACCGCGTCTAACTTCTCCCGCAAACGTGACACGTCAACCTAAAGCCTCGGTCACAACCCATCTGCGTGCACGTGCTGTCGACGTGAAAAAACATGGGCAAACGTAGGGGATCCGTATTACAAGTGGTGAGCACCGCCTCCGTACGGAATCCTACGGATTTGGGAGCACGCAGACACGCCGTAGAACTTAAAAGTGTGCATGTAGAACTTTTTCTGCGTTTCCGGTTACCCGACCAACCCTAGCAAAATTGGCCATTTTCTCGTGAAATTAAACCCATCACCCATAATTTATCCACCTAAATGACTAATATTGCTGGAAATAGAAAACCCTTATGTATAATCAAGGAAGGTATCATTCAAGAAATCCCCCTTTGGATCGCTAGGGGTCCCCACTGACACGTGCAGATAGTGTATAAGCCGCCCAAACAACATGGCTGCGCGCATAGTGGGGTGGGCGAGCAAAGCTGAGTGGAGTCAAGTCTACCAACAACTCTACAGCAACGACCCTGTACAGGTCCAACACGCGCTAGACCGAGCGGCGGCTTGGAAGAGCCGGCTCGACACGAAAATGCCCATCGCGATAGACTGTACCTCGTCCCTGCTGGCCGTTTGGTTGCGGGATAGCGGTGCACACGTGAGGGGGGAGGGGGGCAGTTCAGCAGCAAACTGTCACGACTTGTTTCAGCTCCGCTTAGCATACTCCATGGCACTAGCGAGGTAATGTGTTATGTCCATCATAATACCAAAAAAATACGACATTGACTATACTTTGCAGCCACATTTTTAGCTTGACACATCGGCTATGATTTTTTTTCTCGTGGTCCTGGAGGCCCTTTTAAATTGTTAATTTACTTAAATGTTGGTGAATACTGAATAAATTGGTGATTGTATTTAAAAATTATAAGGGTAAATGAGATAACACTGCATATCTAACATTTTCTAACATATCTAGCATTTTCCCCCAATCTCTTGTATAATTTGTGGCACTCTCAATCTGGAAGGAATTTATGATGATGTGTTTGTTACTGTATTTGTTCCTCAGGTTTGTGAACCTTGTGACGGATGCAAGTCAGGACAAATTCTACATCCAGCCAGTCCATGTCATGGCCAAGGAGGTTAGTCAAATGTGAACGAAAACTGTTTCCTCAATTCCTGGTGTGAAAATGTCTAGAATAAATTTAGTCAACACAATATATTCAACTTGTGTTTAAATTATTATTTCTTGATTGCCATGGCTATTGACACACCTGGTGTGGAAATAACGGACAAAAAATTCTTATGTCCACACCGTAATACTAGCCTCCGTGGCAGGCCCGAAACTTGGGTTTTGGTGTGTGTTTGGAGCTTCAGGGGCTTCAAGTTTAAAACCTTGGGCTTCAAGCTTAACTTAGTAGATGTCGAAAAGGCTGAAAATCAGAAAACAAACAAAAAAAGGCCAGCAAATTAGAGCACCCAATAGGTATTTTGTCTCTCTCAAAGTAGGTTTAAAATATAGTGGAACCACCCTGATTGTACTTGATTGTACTCATTACAATACAATAAATGTGTGATGAATTTTGACTTGATTCCTACCACCAGATGTCCCTGCCAGAATGGATGGTGAACCTGCGCCACGAGGCGACCCACCGCAGTCTGCCGGCGCTGCCCGTGCTCCGGTCGGGGGCGCGCTTCGCCCTGTCCTGGCTGAGGAAGAAGTACTGGGAACCACAGCTGCAGCAATGTGGGGAGCTGACAGGGGGAGCCGCTCAGAAGGAAGAGTTAGATGTGGAAGGTAGGTGTCCCGGTGAACCAAGATGTTCCTTCTCCATGTATGAAACAAACAGGAGTGAGTAGAAACAGGAAAGCCCCTGACTCGAATCCCGGCAGCCAGCTTAAGACACCAGCGTGGTATATCTGTTGGAATGGGTTAGTTAGCAGCGCTTGAACACCACTGTTACATATATATGATACTAGTAGTATGTCATACTGACAGTGACAGTGAAGCCTATCTTTCTTGGTTATTTTGCTAAGTACACAGGCCTGTAGTACTGCTCTTAATAAGTGTGTTAGGTTGTTTTCAAGATAACACGAGTCACGAGGTTTGGTAAAAGGAAGACAATCTCTTTTTTTTACCATTCCCAACGGTGTAGGCTGTGTAGCATTTTTCACATGATTCCATAATATTAATAATCGTTTTGCAGAAGTCAGGCAGGCTGTGTTAGGACTGCTGATATCGTACGAGCAGCATCAGTTTGAGGTAAGACAAAATCTTATGATTATCTCTCACTAGCCACTGTTCAATACAGTTTCCTTCACTTACAGCATACGTTTCATGCAGACATTACATTCACTAGATAGTAGATAGTAGCTTCCTACTATTAAAGAAGACCAACGTATGTTGTGTTATATAAGTAAGTAATGCTATGACACTTTTTCTTTACTGAGGAAACTTTGTGTCTTGCATTTCTGTGTCTCAGTTGAATTGTGTCTCATGCAGAAGAACACAGATGCCATATACCACTCACTCACTCACTCACTCACTCACTCACTCACTCACTCACTCACTCACTCACTCACTCACTCTTTCCCATAGACGACTATGAAACGGTGTAACCTTATACCAGTGACGCATATTTTTTTCACCACAGATTTTGTCAGAAAGAAGCACCAGGAAGCAGAGAACCCATCACACGACCCTTCTACAGGAGGTTCTCACTAACCTGGCTGCACTCATGGCTGGGAACAGGTGGGCACTCTCAGGAAATGGCTTATAATATTTGTCATGTTTAACCATTCTTTCCAGTTACTCATATATGTGTAACAAGTTTGATTAGTTCATTAGTGACATTGAAGAACAGTGGTAGATGTCACTCGAAACGTCCTGAAATTATCTCCATAATTTATCCAGTATTTCCTTTGAGGCTTATGGTAAAGTGTGTGCAAAATCTTCTAGTCCTTTTAATATTGAAAGAAAATCCGTGATCTACATGTACTAATACTAGTAATAGTAATACAATTATGTAAAGTCAGATCAGGTATGAAGACTAGATTATGTCTATATGCCATACGCACATGTTTTATCCGTTGCAATTGTTGAGCAACAAAGTCAATTGATTGTCTATGGAAATAATGCATAGTAGACACAAGCACCAATATTTGGTCCTTTTAATTTCCCCCCGACAGTGAGACTGTTGTGTCGTGCCTGTGTGGCCAGGGCTTCCTTCTCCCCACTCCTGAACAGACAACTGCTCTGGGCATATCTAACGTCTTTCCTGGTGAGTCTACATGACTTAAGTTGTTTGAGAGTAACTGTGTAAAGTAACAATAAGGTTCTGAAACAACAAACTGTATTGAAAATGTATAATGACTATGAAAATTGTTGGAAATCGATTAAGATAATATTTTGGTTTACAAGTTTATAAATCTTTTTTTTTTAATTATTATTTACTTCATATTCACTACAAAACAAGGCTCATCAGAGCCACTCAAATGTTTTGGGTTACTGTACAGACAGTGACAGATTTTTGTTGACCTTAGACTTGAAAAGTTTAAGGCTATACCCATTTTGGAAACAATCATGTGGTAGCTTGTTCCATAGTGGTGTCGTTCTAGGTTTCATCAACAATTGTTGACTTGCATGAGTAGCACTATATATAGTTTGTGTTGATATATTTCTTCTCCTTTCTTCAGAAAACGAGGGAACGGGGTTGCCAGGTATAGACAAAAAGTTCCAGGATTTCTGGAAGCCAGTTTTTGAGCTGTTACATCAGTCGAGCGGCATCCCTCCATTGGTGGAGAGACTTGTCCAGCAGCTGGGCACTTACACAGATGAAGACTTGCAGTTTGCAGTGGGGTGGATATCACTGATCACAACAGCACAAAATTCACAAGGTAAGTACTTGAGAAGCTTTCCTTAAATCTAGTGAGCTTCGACTTGTACCTCAGATGAAGAGGACTTCATCATCAGAATTTAACATGGCCAGGATTTTGTATGTAACAATCTGTGTCCAGATGTGTAATCTTCTGTTTTAATCCTTTTGACTCTGTGCATTCTGAGCTCAAGTTTCTAGGCGAATTCATGCATTGAAATACCTGAAACAACGATTAGAAGAAAATGTGCAAATACTGAGTTGAAACATTACTGGAATAAACATACACGTTACTCTATATTAGGTCTTAATCTATACTTCTTTTTTTGTACACTGTTGTTGCCATACTTTGTACCATGTGCAATTGCCGTGCAATAAAGTTGTAAATCCTTATTTTTCTAGATAAGAAAAGTCTGGAGAGACTTCTGCAGAAGGTGAAAGTGGAGTTGCCATGGCGACGATTAGTCACCTGTTGTCTGGCCACGCCCTGCAAACACACAACAGGTCTGGTTCACAGGTGAGTTTGTACAGGTGTACTAGGTGTGTTCTGTTCTTTGGATGGGTTTAGAACTTCCTAAGTCATCAGACAAACACAAACCCACACAAAAATGCAAACGCAGTGAGAGACAAGCCAAAGGATGTGACGTATTGCTTGTCTCTCTCAATGTGTCTGTGCCTATGTGTTTGTCTGTGTGTGTGTGTCTTTGTGGGTGGTGTGTGTGTGTTCCTGTGTGGTGTGGGTTCCTGTGTGTGTGTGTGTCTGCATGTCTGAGTGTGTGTGTTTCTGTGGTGTGTGTGTGTCTGTATGTCTGAGTGTGTGTGTCTGAGTGTGTGTGTATCTGTCTGTATCTCCATCGGTATATACTCCTTCGGCGTAACACACCAACTAAGTGTGTGTGTGTGTGGGGGGGTGCACTGCAATTTTTCGTGGTTCTGACATAGTTTCTGTAGACAATAATTGACTTGTTTGACATCATTGGATATGATTGACAAAAGATACATAGTATTACTTAGACTAAAACTACCCACTGTCTTCTCTTTATGCTCTAGCATGTTGCAGTCAGCCGACCCACCATTTTCCCAACATGAACTACAGACGTACCAGCACCTCTGCAATATTTACACTGGAAATACAGCGCCATACAACCAGCCTGTACCAGAGTCGGTTTTTACAGCAGATATGGCAAAAGCCAGACTTCAGGAAAACCAGTGTAAAAAAAAGGAGCTAGAAACCCCCACCACTCAGGAAGACTCTTTGTCCGTGGAATCTGTTGAGGGGAGGACATGTCTCCAGTACAAGGCATGGGAGAAATGTACAGGTAACAACAAACATGGAACTACATGTACATTAACTACATGTACATTTGTACGTGTAGCAAATGAGAATGAACTTTCGATTCAAATTTCTCACTAAGATACCAAAAAAAGGAAGACACAAATTAACATTAGAAAAGGATACTCTTTTAATTCACTCACTCACTGACAAAATTAACTGTATCTTTTTCCTCTGGCATTCTAACAGACCTAGAATACACGTAACACAGACAAGAGTGTAACACAGCCAGTGGGTATTCAACAATCGTCATATATTTTCAAAAAGCGTAACATACTTGAATATACATTGTATTACTGAGAGCTTCTTTTTAGCAAGAACAGTAAACATCATCTGTTTCCAAAAATAATTTCCTGAGGTTGGTAGAACATAGCACATTGGATTTTTCTTCTTATTTTAAAAAAACAGTAATGACTCTCACATGCTTTCCAGTTGTGTGATAGAAAATCCAAAAGCAAACATGATTTTCTGTATAAACGTGACAAGTAGGAGTTAACAGTGTGCTCTTGTATCATGAACTTTGATACTAGTAATGACCTTTGTAACTAGTACTGTACTTAACCCCTTCTTCACACTTCCTGTCTAGATGCGGTAGACTGGAGCCAGTTTCCTCTTGGGAGTATTCCCAACCGTACCAATGACATCAGCTACCTGGAAGTACCACTGGGCAATTCCCGGGATAGCAGAAAACAGGAAACTCCCGTCAGAAGTGTGGCCTGGGACACACACAGGTGAGGTTATGCTGTTCCTTTGTGTATTGTATCGGTTACTTCCTGTTGGCGGAGTGTTAGGTAGGTGACCATGGTGATGTCAAATTATGAAAACATCGTGATGTCAGTGCCGAGTGATATAGTAAAGTTGGGAAAATGCGGCATGCATTCACGAAGTCAGGCGGGTCAGTGTTTTCTTGCCAACAATTCACAATCGGAGCTATTTATAGTCGTTGGCGTGTCTTGTTCTCAATGCAAGACGTGTACGCAATGTTTGTCTGAACACTGTAATAACACAATTCTTGACTTTAGAGACAACACATAAATATAGTTAAGTATGGTAAATATTTGTGTTCCACTTTGATGCAAATGCGTCATTTTGTCTCCACCTTCGGGAACACTGTAGGCAGAGTGGAGGTGGAACAGAGCTAGTGTTCACGGAAGGAACCCAGGGTACTTGTTTCTAGCACCTAACAAATATGGCCAGCAGGTTAACTTTGGGAGGGAATGTGGACTGAACAATTGTCACTGTCAGTTAGATACTTTTGTATAAGATATGACAAAATAGACACCACTGGATAGAGAGAGATATAGCTACTCTTATAGCCTACTAACTGTCTGATGTTTTTCCTTTCCAGGGAGGATGGACCTGTTAGACCTGCTCAGTATGATCTACAGGAGAATCACCAGAGACAGGACTGGACTCCCATGGAGCTGGGAATGTTAAAAAGAACTGTTGTCCTCTTCTAATAAAAACTGTGTGGCATCAAATGACCCACAGGCTAGGCTAGGGGACACCAGATTAGGGGTTTGATCCGTGGCATTCCTGGCTAAATGTTATGTCCTTGGGAAAGGACTTTCTCCTCACTTCATCCAGGTGTAAAATGGGTACCTGACTTTGGTTGGGGAGGTAAAAGGTGGTAGCCTGGGTACCATCCGGATTTTCGCTACGCAACGCTCGAAAAAATCTGTGATTTTTTCGAGCGTTGCGTAGCGAAAATCCGGATGGTACCCAGGCTAAAAAGGTGGTGGAAGATAAAGAACTTACGACGAACTGCCACAAAAGCCTTTAAAAAGGCTATGGACTACCTTTACCTACCTAATTACTATATTATCTCTAAAAGAATGACATTAAAAAATACAATAAACAAAACATCTCTGCATCTATAGTACATTTAATACAACCACCTAGAAAAACAAGAGTGCAAGTCTAGCATTAAGTATACAAACTTAATATTTAATACAGTCACATATCTAGTACTTATTACCATACCATTATAGTACATTACACAAGGGAGTACCTTATATCCTTACAGTCTTGCACTTGCAAGAACCAGCCCCAATATAGCAATTACAATGTACATGAATGTGAGTAATCATACCCAATAGTTGCAACTTAGTATAATTATTAAGCAACCTCCTATCAAATACTTAGAAACAAAAAGAACCTACCACCCCATCACTTGTCATCTACAAGTACTGTCACAACATGATTGGCAAATAACGTGACATCCATTTATGCTAAGATTATATATATTGGTACAGTACTATTGCTCTTAATATTTCATATACATCAACTTTGTACATAAAGAAAAATGGTTTTAACGCTTGAAACAGTCAAACTCTTGTTTATAATGATAAATGGTGTGAATGAATTTGAACTAAACTCGAGATAAATACCCTGCTATACATCAGAATACAGTTGCAAAAGTGTCACAGTGGTGATACATACAAAGTCATTGACACTAAACACAATGATATCACAAAGCTAAGGACTGGATAACAGAACATAAGTAAGTGCCTCAACAATTTAGAGATGCCACCAAAGAATGTACAAGTGAATATAATTCATCCTATAGTATATACTACTTAGTGTTTTAGTAGTTTCCTAGGATTGTTGTACAAATTGCCATATGTTGTATCGTATACAACTCTTGAGCAATAAGTCATCATTAGTCTTAATTATAATACAGGATATTCCTACACGGCTACAGTACATGTACCAAGTCTTGGTATACATCAAGATTAGACCACGCTAAAGCTACTAAATGCCATCTAACTGACAGCCCTAATCCTCTAATAGAATAAAGTATCAAAAGACAAAAAGAAATTTTAAAAAGCACAGGAGCTACACCTCCAAAGCATACAGGGAATTACCTCTGTAATTATACCTCAATTTTCACACCGATACAGTCCCCACATAGTGGGGGTTACAGCTGAGGGTCTGTCCCAGGCACATGCAAAGTGTCCTTGCCATAAAATGTACTCTAACATGCTTCAACATAGGAGACAACAAACATGGTTGCATTCCCACTGTCTAAGAGGGGTGTATATGTTTCTGAATGAAAATATACCCTTCTTAAAATCATATCCAGTTGCTTGAGAACTGTTTTTTGTCGTATCTAATTACCTGGATACAGACGTATACCCTTCTCAGTTCTCAGAACAGTACATGTTATCAACAAAACATGAATTTTGTGTTGTTAGTTTACATATTCATTTATACAACGCTAAGTAGATATTTGGAGACAAGGTTGATCACATTGTGCACAGAAGTTGGGAACAGACTCTCGGCTGCTGAAATCAGCGGATACATTGCTTTCTAAAATACATAGTATTTTACCTTAGATGATGTTAGGATGGTGACACCACTGGCAAATTACTGCACCACCTTTCTTACAAGCAAGAAAAACTTTTTTCAAATTCTTCCGATCACACCTGTACTTTGTACTGCACAGAACAGTTAACACCTCTTTGAAAACTTTGGTGATGTTTTTTTTTTCTCCTGAAATTTTCTTTTTAAACATCACAAGAAGTTATCAGTTCTACAAAGCTCACCAGCCTCTGGGCTGTACCACACGTCATGTAGGGGTGGACAGCCCTAAGAAGTGCAAGGCAGACCCCCAGAATGGGTTAAACCATCCCAAATGTTGGGTAAGATCTTTCACACCAATGTAGGAAACGTACATGAAGCTGAAGCTCCCATAAGTCATCAAGTTACTTCTTGACATACTTTACAAAACTGTGTGGTGATCCCTAGGAGTCAACCACACTGCTATTCGACCATAACATGGCCTGTTGAAGTCTGACTCATCTCTTTTGAATTGAGTCCACAATTTTGTCCATGTTCCATCTACAGGGCTCAAAATACTCTTACTTGCAATAAGTGGTTCATTATGGCAGGCCAGAATCTTTACCTGCAAAGTTGCAACATGTTAGCTGGTAAACTTTTGCTGCTGGTATTTTTGTTTGTGATCTTGAAACCTTTTCTGCAGATTATTTTGAGCCCTGATACACAAATCGGTGCCACTTGTACAAAATGTAGCACACCACATGTAGCTGTAACTGCCCTTGACAACAGGTGCCAATCACAGTGTTCAATGCCCAAAAATACCATTCATTATATAACAACGTTACAACAAGGGCCCTTTTCTAACTCTTCAACACCTGCATCTCTACAATGATCTGCCCGATCTTGGTGGGGTCCCTCTCGTGAGGGTAGCGGTTCAGGGCTTGCCGAACCTTGTCTGGCTGGAACACGCTGCTCAGGTTGACGTAGATGTGGTAGCGCGGGTCGTCCTGGAGGATGGGCGCGTCCTCAGGGTTGGACTTCATGCCGTACTGCTCCTGTGGCATGTTGGGGGCGTACGTGTAATGTGGGGGCGGCATCTGGGAGTGGCCAGGCCAGTAGCTGTCCGGCGGGATGTTAGCAGGCATGGCGCGGCTGCGCATGTGGTGTTGGTGTTGTGAGGACGCCATGCCGTAGTTCAGGTTGTTCTGACCGTTGTAGACAGGACCCCTCTGCTGCAGGCCGGGGTGGTGGTCGTGGTACAGCTGCGGTTCGGACGTGCTGGTCTGCCGGGTGTACTGGAAGGGGTGCGAGCCGCTCCTGTGGTCGCGGTAGGGGTCTGCGGACGCGGGGGGCTGGTGCTGGAGACTGTGGACACCAGGCTGACCGTGGTAGTGCTGGTACACGTCCCAGCTGCTGTGTCTCCCAGACACGTACCCGCTCTCCGGAGGGAGGCTGGTCGCATCGCGCAGTGCCAGGTTGGACATCTCCTGGCTGATGTCGCCTCGAGGCTCCGGGCTGGAGTAGAAGGTGTTGATAGAGTAGTCGGGATACTGGCTGGGATGCTGCATGTTGTACTGCTGCATGCGTGGGTCGGGGCGGTACATAGGCTGCTGCTGGGGTGGTGGCCTGTTCCACTGGGCGCCAGGGTTAGGGTCTGCACTCATGGTCCCGTGGTAGGAGTGCATGGATTGCTGGGGACTGTGGGTGGGGTGGGGCCTGGCAGGGCCTTGCCACGACATGAAGGGGGCGGTAGACACTTCCCGTCTCTCAGGGGCCTTCAGGTGGTACTGCGAAGGCAGGGAGGCACTTTCATCCGGACTGACCCCTTGGAAGACGTCTTTCGTATCGAGGGACACCGGAGTGTCTTTTCTTGTCGACTTTGATTTCAGTTCGCGGTCCCCACTGACGGGTTTCTCTGTGATCGTCTGTTTGCTGCTCTTCTCAACGTTTGTAGGTTTGGATGCTGTGCTCAAGTCAGCATACAATGTTGGGGTGTCCTCAGGCAGGGTGCTAGGAGCTGTGGTCTCTGACCCAGGCTTTCTAGATTCCCTCACTTTAGGTGTGTCTTTCTTTATGTCCTTGGAGGTGGAAAGGGACGCTCTCTTGTGCAGTGCCCTGACTCGGTTCTTGCCATCTTCCATGATCTGTTCAGACACTGACTTCTGGGGGACGTTGCCCCTCTCAGGGTGGTAGTACTTGCACTTGTTTCCATAGGTACATTTCTTACCTGTGGAATAAAAGATGGTGTTAGTTTTCATAACTTCATGACACAGTAGTTACTGTTACAGTGGGCAAACCAATGTTGAATAGTTTGTTCTACATGTACATGTATGCAATTTGAAAATTTTAGATGAAATGCTGTACTGCACTGGGAGAGAGTAGAAAGATGTTCTGCTGCAAAAACTGTACCTAATTATTGAATTTGTACACAATTGCATTTGTTTTTTCTGTTTCCTTTTGTCAGGGTGGACCAGCTCATTGACTTAGCCCATAAATGTACATGGATATTAAAGAACCAAAATGCAAATAAAATAAAACAAAAGTTCTCACCATAAGGACAGGGAGGAGCCTTCTTCTCAGGTGCTGTTGGCCTCTTCCTCAGAAAGTTATCAAGAGTCGGTCCGTACCGTCCCAGGGGGTCATCTGGCACCATAAATCTGCAGACAGAGGAGAGACATCCAGGTTAGCACTGAAGCACAGTTCTGTGAGTTTACTTCAACTTCAGAAGTGGCATGATGATAACCATGTGAACTAATTTTAAAAATCTAAAGGACATGACAATATAACTACACAGTAACAGAAGTAAATGGACAGAACATGAAGACAAGAGTGTGTCTGTATAGTCGGTATAAACGCCCTTCGGCATAACACACCAGCTTCGCAGGCACGCGGTGTGGCAGCAGCTGGCTACATTGCACCAAATGACTTGTTACACCTAACCTTTAAACACCTAACTCAAAACATAATTTAAAGCTATGTTGACAGTGCAGAGGTATTTTATGAGATGATACACATCTAAAATTGTACAGTAAGGGCACAACAATATAGCAGTAAGTTGAGTATGCACCTGTCATTAACAAACGAGTACATCAGAAGTCTCTCCTCTATGATCTTCTTCCATTCCGGCTTCTCTGTTTGAAGGTCGCGGTAGTTGTCATTAGATACGATGATTCCATCCGTCTCGTTGGCCAGGCGTAAGATGAACCTGTCGTCGTAGCAGACGACTCTTCTCCCCGCCACGCGTCTCGAAGGAGTGTAGACTAAGATCTTATCTTTCTCCAGCTTGTCGAGGATCTGTTGTTCTGTAAGGTACAAGTTGTGACAAACATTTAGACCTGAAAGTGTTTTAAAACTGCAAAACAGCACAATTGACCGACACAAAACAACTGATTCTCCTGGTTTTGTAGATTACTATTTAATTTATCAATGGAGCCATCATACATACATGTATTTTATATAATATGTACAAAAAAAATTTAAGATGATGAATTGGGGTTAAAAGGGGAACTAGATTGTGTATGAAATTATGAAGTAGCCCTTGTCCCTGGTATCTTTCCAGCCTTGTTTTATGGTGATCTATAGTAAATCTTCTAAAAGGAAATATAGTAGTAGATACATTCAGTTTAAACGTACCAGCAATAGGCTGTTCTGGTCTTGAAGCCTCTTTTCTCCAGTTGGGGACGAACACAGTGATATCACGATGTCCTCTCTTGATGAAGTAGTCCACAGCCAGTGCGATCCCCTTGCAGGAGAACACTTCCTTGTTGCCGTGGCTAAGATGAAGGAAGGGAAAAGAAAACGAACAGGAAGTAAATATCGTGGCTTTTATAACACAGGAGGTAAACTTTGTGAGCGTTCTTCTATAGAAGGATACATGATCAAAATTCTGACACAGCAATCTTTCTGCTTAACACAACAAGGGAAAAGTAAAGCATCATGTCCTTAAATAACTCCAGGAAGTTCTGGTATCAGGTTTAACAAAGTGTGTAGGTCTTATAAGGTAGAGATTCCTCTGCTAAAGCAAGCTTACATGACTTTGTGGAATGCTTTCCTGTTTCTAAGGAAAGTAAAGTGACAGATAAGGATGTTTAGGATATCAGTGTGTGCCACAGTTGGGGAAGTAAGGGGACTTTTCACCATGGGATTAGGGATATTCCTTTAAAGGTATAGTCTTTCTTTGTATTTGGAAATACCTTTGACCGGGTGTGAAACTTTTTTTTCTCAGACAACAAAATTTACAAAAACTAGAAGACCATGCAACATAAATAGCCAACCGGCAGTTTTCAACTCCTTTGTTGTATTACTTAAAGACACTCAAAACAATACTTCCATACCCGGAAGTTAGCAATAGAAAGTCCAAAACCACAAGGGGTCCTGCATCTAGTAACGTGAACTTGAAGGTACTTTCCCTCTGTCCTGTCCTCTATTTTCACCAGAGACAATACAATAGACGGTCTACAAAAACCTTATTCAACACATCCAAAAAAAGGGAAAGGGGTGAACTGCACACATGTAGATACTATGAAATTGAAAGGACAAAGTCTTCCTTTCTAATGTAGCATTGAACTTGAGGAAATCAATATATTTATAGTCAAAAGTTTGTAGATTCTGAAGACATCCCCTGTTAGATTTTTACAATGCGGTCTAAAGTTATCTCACAATTCCTGGAAATTTGGAATAAAGCTAAAGAATTGCCTTCTTACGTTGTTCTACAACATTGTTCACACAAACAAATGCAATGTCTGAAATAGCTAGAGATGTACAAATTTTAATCTTGTCTTCTTGTTTCCAATTGGTCAATTAATTGCACATGGTATAGACATCATAATTATGATGATAACAGGTAAAGATCTGAGTCAGTCATCATGTAATGATAACAGGTACAGATCAGTCAATGTCTGGGCATTGACATGAAAAAATTTTATCAGATGATATTCACGCCTTTATAACTCACAACTCTGAAAATGAGGAAGTTGATCAGATCTGCTTTCAACAAATGGACTATTATACGAGTGACCTCAAAGACTGAAAAGCGGAAGCCTTGGATTGCGGAAGTTACCCGAGGAGTAAAGAAAACCACGTGTAGGCAACGTGAGATCGAACTTCCTCTTTTTCTTTTCTTTTGTGGGGAAAACCCAAAATATGGGAGGTGGTCCCATATAAGGTTATATGGCAGATGTGCTACAGAACAGAGGCAAATGGCACGTCTATCCCTCAGAATACGGGGAACAACAGACATTAAACCAGATAGAGAGAGAGTGCTATCCCCAGTAGTGAAGATATGGGCCAAAGAAAGCCTGACTAAAAACTGACTGTACAATCAGGTGTAAAACACTTCCCTTTTGTGTGAGCAAAAGAATGGAGTTGCTGTATTCGTTTCAACATGTTTTGGTATGTGCCATAAAAGCTGTTGCTTAGCAGTGATAAACACATACTCAAATATGGTCCTTTTGGCTGCTTATTAGCACAATAACCCCCCTCCTCAGATGCAGAACCTCAAAGGAAGTGGCTGCCCACACAATCTAATAAACTTCCTATTGGAGGGGTACCTGACCTTTTAGCTGACATTTAGCTTTGGGCAGGTCTACAGAGACCCTACTTGTGGGTGGACATGTGGTTTTAACCCTTGTCCTGCTGGCAATTTTTACACAATATTTTCAAATAATTTCATGTCTTAATCAGGTTACAGACCCTTGACTTTTTTTGCCCTGCGGCGGCCTAGTTACTTTCGCATTCGTTGCGTTTCGCTGCGGTGTGATGCGTTGCACAAGAAACACCCCCAAATCGCACATATACAGGGCACTATATAGATGGTACTGTATGTACCACCCATATATATATGGGCCCCGCAGGACAAGGGTTTTAAAAGTGAGCAGCAAAATTACTGACATTTCTGGTAAGACCTTTCTTGAACCACACTGACTCACATGTACAAGTCGTACTTGTTTTAAGAATGACATCTTCAAACAAGTAAGAATTGTAATGAACTGTGTTTGATGCTTTACGTGTTGTTTACAAAATACACAATGTATTCTACATGTAATAGTAGCTTTCAAACAGTCGTAAACACAAGGATTTTGCCATGGCAACAGCCAAACTTCCCCATGCCAAGTTCCTCTTTCACATACCCTCCTTCTCTTTCTACTTCAGCACCACCGCTGTTTACAACTCAGTGAAGAAGACTAAATTTGGTGCTCTTGTGTGCAGAGGGAAGCTAATTATAGGTTTCATATCCCACGTGTACTAGGTACCAGCGGTGTATCAAATTTAATGGGGAACTTTCACTTGCCTGGATAAACAATGATTTGCAGTTTATAAAAAAGAAGACTAAAAAAAATTAGGAGAACAGGGGTTATAGCAGACAAGCTAAGCTGAAGTCAGCTTTAAACTTACCTCATAGCAACATTGCTTCCATCGATGACAATAGCTCGGAGATTGTCTGTTTCATCCTCATCACTAAACACAGCTTCATCCTCAGTTTTATCAGCCATAGACAGAGGCGTGGCCCGGCCGCCTTTGGCCACCAGTCTTTGCTTTTCTTCAGGCTCCTCGTCTTTTGACCCCGCCCCGATCTTCACCAGGTCACCCAGGATGTCGTTTTGGAGCGCGTCAGGGCCCAACTTTTTCAGCACTCTGACTACGTCTGCCTCGGGATATCCTAGCTTCACTGCAAACTCCATTTTTATAATGCTCTCCGGGTCTGTGAACGGGTCAAAGTCCTCCCCGTCAGACCCTTTTGGGCTGCTCGTGTTCGATCTAACTCCGTCTATGCTGTCCAGACTTTCATCTGATCTCTTTGCACTGGAAGGCACATTGTCTAGTGTTCTGGGTATCTCACCATTGTTCGTACCGAGTCTCATATTCTTGCTGAGGTTGTCCGCCGCCGTGTGCCTCATGTCTGCTGCAACAAACTTCTTTTTCTCCTCTTCGATCAATGACAGCGCCGTGCTGAGCTGAATCTCATTGTAGGCTTGGATCAGGAAGGTTGCGTTGTTCAGGGCGGTGAGAGCGGCTTGTGACTCGTACTCAATCCTACTCTGTAGCTTGTCGAGCGCGTCGTAGAACTCCGGACTGCACTTCTCTTCCCGTGTGAGCTCCGGACAGCAAAGCGAGAGGATGTAATCCTGCACAGGGATGGAAAACAAATGGCACTTAGCACAGAAGTGAACCTGGAACGGGTAGATTAGAATGGTCGTGAGTAGGGGGAAGTCCCGCCACTCTATTTTGGACAAAAATGATGTAGCTGTCGGCCTACGCAGTGACATCAAGACTACCCCGCATGTTAGCCCACACATTAAATAACATCCTTCTGACTCTTCTAAAAGCTACATCATTTTAAAAAAATGTTCAGCAAAACAGAATTCGAAATGCTTCACTCATACCTACAACTTACAAGAAGTCAATGTTGTCTTTCCTTGGGGCCATTCTTCTAATTTTGCAGACAAAATCAATGAAATACAACTGACAGGTGAAGTTAAATACCTGGAAACATCAACAGCTGGAAAATTAATCCCTAAGATTACAGGTATTAACATGCATAAGTATGCGCCTACATGTGCAATGTCTAGACATGAGGTCACCTACAATAGGTATCAACTTCAAAAGGAACAAAGAAGAAAACAAAAGGCCTATCATGACTCATTGTCCTTGTAGTTACCTAGGTAAACATTAGCCTCCAAAAGGCCTTTCTACCGAAATACGGACAGATCATAGAATTCGGCAAAAAAAAAGAGTAAAATTGGCCAAGAGAGTCCGGCCGCAGGGAGGTAGTTTCTTTCCCTCCGAAGACTTTAACTGCGTGGTCAGTCAAACCCCAAGGCAGCCAAGCCAAACTCCCCTGGCAAATATTCTCCTATATATAGCCAGCGTAGTTAGTCTGGTAGAGACTAGGTAAACATGTGACATTGTAAACAAATGACACATGTCGTCTTCTGTGGTTACGTAAAGTAACAAAATTAATTGCTATATATTGTAAGTGAACTTTCCAACTGTCTAATGTATAGATCTACAGTCAAATCTGCCGGAGGTGACCACTCAACGGACTTTTAAAAAAAGGTAAGGTACAGACCCTAGACAGGAAGTCATTATACCATATAAGGCATGGGGTATTTTAATCTGTAAGACTAAGAGAGTCCAAAAGAAACTGAACAAATAAATGCCTTGTACAATGTTACAAAATTAATCATTATGATATCATTTTAAACAACTTTTCACAAAATATAACCATACCTTCATAGCAGAATTGCAAATTGCTCTCCATTCTACTAGACTCTATGGACATTATGTACTGTCTACAAGAATTGTAAGAAATACCAGTATAGCACAAACAACTCATTTGACGTAACACACAAAACTAATCAAACGTGAGAAAAAAAGCTCACCTACAGTAGGCATCAACTTCAATCAAGACAGAAAATGTCCCTTTGTCAAGAATCAACCTTGCCTTCGTCTTGGTTACAATTGGCTAGCTCAAGTTAACACAGGCTTTATATAACATCCCACAGCTGGTCTGACTCATTGACGTCATGCCTGGCCATGTAGTTAGCCAATCAGATGGTTAAACTTTAACCAAGACATGTTGTAACAGCAGGATGACGTAGTCTGTCTTAAACTAAGTTAAACTTAAAGGTATTAGTTTACTTGCTTTGCCAACAGTTCACATTGCACTGGGCGGCACGTCACTCAGACGACACATGACACACTTCCTATCAATAAGTATCATTCCTGTGGTTTGTTAGGGACTGTATCCATAACACTTGGGCAAAGGACTGAGAGTTGCTAGGGAAGAACGGAAGAAGAAATGCCCACACGCTACATTTCTTTTGAAATCCAGGGTTTGGAGCCTTACAGAACTGTTAAGTACTTGATAACTTTATCACGTCGAAAAATCTTTTCAGTCAAGTATAGTTATCACTTATCATACAGCCAATCCTATTGCTTATACAGCCACAATGTCTAATGAGGTGTTCATCACTGAGGCCACACCAATTTAATTTGTTGGATCTCGGATTTTTTCAGAAAAAATATGAAGCGACAGGGCGAAAAAAATAAAAAGGTCTAGGCATCCTATTACAATGTATAGGCTTAAATGCTACAAAATGAGCCATGAAGTCAACACAAAAGGCTGGGTTAAAATTTAAACATTGAATTTTGAACTTTTAATCAAACCACTGCAATGATAGATGGGAAAACTGTAACAACTAGGAAGAAAAGGACTTTCCTCAACTGTTGGGGGGCAAAACATGAGCATTTTTCAGTTGATTCAGGACCAGAATCAATTTTTTTTTTTTTTGCAAATCAGAAAAAAACGAAGAGGCAAATCCAAGAACCAACAAATTAAATTGGTGTGGCCTGATTAGCCAATAACACACACGATCAGAAATTATGGGGTTTCAACCTCTTAAGACAGTGTTAGTTTGAATTGGCTGATATAATGAAATTAATGACAAGCTTTAGCCAACAATGAAATAATAAGCTGAATGTTATTAATCTGAAAACTAATGTTAAAAACTTAAGATGATTGTTAATCTGAAAACTGCTGACTCATGAATATCTTACTAGTCCCAGCTTGACAATTGTTCAAACTTTGTTTGAACTTTTGATTGTTTACTGTAAACTTCAAAACTTCAAATAATTTAACTTGAACTGTCACTTCCGGTGACATTCTTGCGTCACAGACAAAGAATGCTTGCGCAGGGATTGCATAAAGCAAAGACATCTCTTCCGGGGAGCTTCCCCATTGTCATAGTTATCTAGTCAATATTTGCCGGGCAGTTAGCACAAGAATGTGAGGGGGAGACAAACTCTTGTGAAGCCTTCTTTCTGCTAAGCTTGGCATCTATATGATGATGTATATTTGGTTACTTTAGTACATACAATGTTTAAGGATTAGATATCAATAAGCATAGTTATTAGCAGTCTGGTACTATTGTACATTGTAGCTCCTATAGTGACTTAACCTTACCTGCTACACCTAGGGTATTATCATCATATAGGGTTAATTAGGAATTTTTACTGCTAAAATACCCACAGTTGACCAGACTTGTTTACTAGGTTTACATGTGATTCTTTATTGACACAACAAAAAAGTACAGAGACTTTTGTATGGTCTTCTACAACTTAACTAAAGATCTAACAAAGCTACATACATGTGTGGATAACGTTATCTTACGTACAGAGTATATGTATGATGTAACAATAAAGGTTAACTATTCTCTAACATGTGGTCTCTAAGATCGAAACATTCTTGTACATGTACAGGTCCATGTACCTGTACCTCATAATAGTACATTTGTTTAGGCACACAGCTCTGACTGATATATATAAAACACTAACTTACCTGGACTTTGGCACAGGTTTGCCTTGTAAGAAACGTTACTCCTTCCGTTGATCCACTTGGCATGCTCTCAAATAAAGCTTTGAAACCTTACGGTGTGTTTTAAGTGTGTCACGGTGTGTCTTAAGTGTGTCACAGGTGCATGAGTGTACTTAGTAATTAAATCAACCTCATGACACGTCCACACATTTTCCATTAGTCATCAACTTTAGAAGGACATTACTAAAGAAACAACACTGGTACCGCACGGTATTGCCTGGTATGCACTGGAACATTCTTTTCTATTTAAATCACACTCATGACCTCAGCCAATAGGAATGCACTGAACTGTGAAGGCTGTGAAGCAATTGTAAAGTTCAAAGCGGACACACCCCCTTTGGTACCTGGCATGACCACCTGAAAATTCATCCCATGCCTATACTTGGACCTATTTGAGCGCTAAAGAAATGGAAAGGTATAAACCTTGAGCTCCTTAGCAGGGGTACAAGTTGGGCTTGTTTTGGCATATATAGTAAATGTTGTTTTTGTGCCAGCACAGCACACATTAACTAGTAGTATTAGTAGTACTGAAGGGTGTTGTTACGTGAGCTGGCTAACAAGAAACCATGTACAATCAGAAAACAGCGTATAAAAAGCCCAACTCATCAGCTTATAAGGAAGGAAGCTTAGGGAGGAAGGTCGCTAAGGGGGAGGGGCTCAGCACAACCAGTGTTGGCAAATTTTAATGAGGAAATGCCCCTGAACAATGCAATCATCATGGTGCGAAAGATTACACTGAAAAAAGATCAAACTTTGATAGTGGTATGGTTCAGACATTCATTATTTGGTTTTGTAGATAAGGTTTTGTAGTGTAGTTTTGAACAAACCAGATCGAAACAGTGGTTTACTTTGTTTACATGTACATCTTATATATTAACATAGCAAGCATTGGTTACACAACCAGTGTTTAGTTTGAATCACTGAAGGACTCTTGGCCATGGTCCATGGCCCTGAAATGATATAACTTAAACATGTACTTGAACTAAAGTTTAAGTTGAAGATCAAAGACTCAAAGATCACGTCATGTGTTACTTGCAATCACCACAAAATACAAACCAAAACTCTTGTACAACACTTTTCACATGTATACCAATATCTTGAGTACCATCTACACATATACATGACGATTGTACATGTATGCATGGCCCTACCTCTTGTGTAATGTTTTCTATCTTGTACCTGCTAAGATTGTGGCTACTGGTACTCACATGCATCAACTTGTGCCTCAGTCCATCCTTAGAACTGTGGTGTTTGTCCTTAAACAGTTAAGACACAATCTGGTGGTTTGTCAACTTAAAATTATTATTGATGGTAGCTTTACCCGGAACTCATTTAGCCTCAGGGTATACATGATTCATACAAGGAAGGACGATATCATGTGCGAAGATTCTAACATAGAGATAACTAGTGATTTTCTGTACATTGGTACCAGTGGTACCAGTATCTCATACTGAGGAAAAACATGACTAATCAACGACATTATACAAGATGTCCTCGGACTAACCAAGGACATTATACACAGACTAACTTAGTAACTACAAAGCATTCAAATATCTCAGGTCTAATATTAATAATATGAATTATGATATGTCATTTACAATACTCCCAAGCAGAATTTTTCATTACACACTTGTATTTTGGCTGACTCAGTATTTGCAATTTGCAAATTATGGAGTTCAGCCCCAGTCATGCAAACATGAACCTAAATGTACATCATGTACAATGCCAGTGACTGCAATAACAGTACTTTGAAGATGTCAATGACGCAAAGCTGCAAAAATACATGGAAAAACTCAACAGTTACTAACTAATTCAGTAAAAGGGTCTGATCATGAGTCTCTCATTATTTCAGGAAATGGTCAAATTGTTTCCTAGCAAGAGAATCGTGACCCAAAGCAAGACAACCTGTAATTAACGTAACACCACATTGCTTCCAGCAAAAAAGGTTTCCTCCCCCTGATTAGGAGCCATCAAATTTCTTATCTTCCAACTTGCTTGCAGTCAAGACATTTGCTTTGACAAAATGTTAGTAAATAAGTTTTCGCAACATCTGGTTATCTTGTGTCATTGAATTTTTTAATGTAAGGTAAAAAGACTGTCTTTTTCTTCCAATTTGAGAGCTGAGAAAAGGACATTGTACTGCAAAATCGAGGTCACTATGGGTCACCAAGTTATGCCCTGACTGATTGCCAGGTAATGCCCATTATGAGTCATCTTCGTCAATCATTCAATGTGTGCCTGACTGACTGGCCAAAGTCTATCATGCACAACTTCGTCACATGGACTTTGAATTTTTACCTAAGAACACAAGAATTTTTAAACTATATGTTTCTTGACACAATACAACAAATGTAGTGAGCTACAGACTTTCAGAAAAAAAGCGAAGATCAGACTAGATATACTAGTAGCAGATACCAAACCATCCATGAAATGACATGTCCAATGTTTTTAGCCTGCAACAAATTATAGTTTTTCTAAATTTCAATTTGGTGCAACAAGTTTATGTGGTTTCAACATGGCATATTTCTTGGAATTTTAACTTTTAACGTTTAAATGCTTCTTAAGAAATTTTTAAAAAAATCAAGGATATCTACAGACAATTTCTTTTAATACTAGACAGCTACATGTACTTATAAGTAATTGAATGTTTACCCCCCACCAAGCTATTTGACGTTACATTTTTTTCCTCCTTCAAAATTGAAAATAAGACCATGCTACAGCTTATATATAATACTCTACAACATACACTTAAAATTCAAGCAATACATTTTTCGTGCCAAGAATAAGCAATGTAATCATACTAGGCACCAGAATTTAGCATGGCAGTTCTACTTACTGAAAGCTTACACTGAGGAGGAAGTAAAAAAATCCACAATGCTAACATGGTGAATAAACACTGATGGTTATCAACTTACACCCCCACCTGTGTAAGGGCCGGTCTATCGTTTCAGAGGGGGGGAAGCAACCGTAGCATCTACAAAACTAGTCGATTATTACCTTCATGTTAAGTTAAAAATGAAATAAAATGCAATGTCACGAAGACAACAATGGTGTTTCATTGGGAACAACTAAGTAAAGGGTCAATGATTCACCCAATGGCATGAGCATATCCAATGTTCAACTCTGCAAGATAAAACAAGAGAAGTTTAAACATAACTCTATACTGACTACTAATATATCAAAGACTATAGAATATTTTTTTGGTAATTTTGCCAAGATCGTAAACTGATAACAGCAGATTTTCATGAATGCAAGGTCACATTACATGTACTTGTTAGTTAAAATGAAGGTCATTGCTCTATGGAGGAAGTGAAAAAGAGTCAAAGTCCACAATTTAGTTCACAAATCAGTCATGATTCAAACACAGGCCGCAAGCTACTCTCAGTATTGAATTCTCATCGACATGACTGCGGTCACTTGAAGTATACCTATATGCATACTATTGCATCTCTCTCCCAAAAAAAATACAGGTTATTATCAATCATTATCATTACTTATCTCCAAAAAGGAGTTTTATATGATTCTGTGCCAGCATATCCAGGGTCCTAGTCACTAGCTGGTATCCTTATAATCTAAAGCTTTGTCAGGAAGGCAACCAGCCTAGAATTCTATATAGAAATTTTCATAAGAAAAATTGTCAAGTGGAAAATTCCTTTTCACAACCAAGGAGGTTCAATATATATGTATTGAACCTCCTTGGCACAACACATCAAGTATAAACTATAATATCATATTTACATTAGCATAAAAACCTAGGGTAACAAACTCCACTCTCAGTCCAAACCTAGGGTAACAAACTCCTCTCTTTTTTCTCTAATGCTATTATGTGCAATAGTAAGTCTGGGGGGTACACCCATTCAGTATAGGCTTGAGGCTGCCTATGGAGGAAATGTCAACACATGCTATAGGGCATAGGCTATCACACCTGTTACACATATAGCGAATTCTCCGAACAAAGTCTTCCTTATGAGCCTTCTCAGGGTTGGACAAGTTTTCAAAAATCCACTTGCCGTATCGGGCAAGTACCTGGTCATTTCCACTTGCCCGAACCAACTTTTCACTTGCCCAAAATGTGATGCATTTCTATGTATTGTACTAGCAGGAAGGAAACTATTTTATTATAATAGAGTTTATAATGTCAGATGCTTTATTTATCAAAATTGTTTGAAACTTGGTCGAAATACGGTAGGGGCTATACTTTGCATCCAAAAAATATACTTGCCCAATCGGGCAAGTCCAGGGGGATATTCACTTGCCCGAACAGTACTTTTACTTGCCCTGGGCAAGTGGGCAATAGGACTTGTCCAACCCTGCTTCTGTGAAATTTTTACCGACAAGAAATCGTGATTCTGTCCTGTTTCAGGAATAAAACCCCAGCTGACATGTAGACATGCACACGCCCCCTTCTCGCCTGCCTTCCAGGAAATACATGTACCACCTGTTTGAATGTTTGTTGACTATTTGTCACATGATACTGCAAATTTGCCGACTGTCACCTGATTTATCAGACCACACAGTAGAGCAAGACTACCTACATATGTAGGGTACAGGGGTGCACTGATAGTGATATACTAGTAACTAAAAATATTTTTTTCGCATACCTGCACTCAGACTTAGAGAACTGCTCAAAAACCATAGCCATTATTTCTTATACACAGGTGGTAACAGTGAATGCAGCAAATAAAAGTCCACATGGACTAGTGAGATGTTATTATAGGTGCAGGTAGACAACTATCACAGGAATACCTGCACAGCCACAATCTTACATGCACTAAGGCTGCTAATACTACACCTATAATAACATACACTAGTATAGTAAGTACTTATTGCTGTACTATGTATCAAAATTCTATTTCAGGGAACAGCAAATTAAAGACTGAGGTGAACAAACTGATATGATTTTATTGAATGGATGCACTAACTTATAATATTTGGTACTAGTCTTTTGGTATTTCTAAATGTCCTGTTTTGAGCCCAGCCCGAACTGAACCTAAATTACCAGTAAGAAAAATGCTTTTGTTGGAGTAAAATAATTTTGGCGATATATAATCTGTCATAACAGTAAGTCCTGTGTAATATTGCTAGTCTAAGAATAAAAAAAGAGGATATGAGGTTTTACAAATAAGACATAAATAGTGGGAGTTAAGAGGAGTACTAACAACTTTCTAAGTTTCTTTAGTCTGACTGCAAAAGTGCCGGAAATGTTCACAAGTGGACTAGGCAGGATTCAGCACAGTATTTTTATCGTGATGACTCTGAAGAGCATTCCTTGGTGACTGGGCATGTTAAGAGTTGAACTGGTATATTTTTAGCTTGCAGGCTAACACAGAGAAGGAAGTACTTGTAACGCAGGCCAAGGTACTTATTCAACAGACGGATCTCCAAAATTACAAATATTAACAAAACATTTGAACAAGATTGAAAATAGCTGCCCAGCTTGGTAAAATTAGCAACAGGCAGTACAAGTATAACTAAAGTCAGGAAGTAATCAAGACATTTTGAGAAGGAAACAAATAAAATGTAGTGGCTGCCAGCATGCATGTGGAGTGGTACAGGAAGGCACGTTGCGAAACATGCGTTTTGTAAAAGTGCAACCATATCGGAACTGCCTGTAGTAAAGTACTAGTATCTCCTTTGCGAAACTTCGTTAAACAGTGCGTGACACGGGTCACTTTAAATCAAGGTGACTCATGTGTGTAAACAAAGTGTATCTTGAAAAACAAAATGACTTTTCATGCTTTATACGTTTCTGAAATGTTTTGATTTGAATTGCCTGATATATTCCCGCCAAAAGACTGTGGCTACACCTTACTTCCCCTGGCCTTTGGTTACTTAGTAAAGAGGAACATACAGAACTTTCCGCCGAACCACCCACCCCCCTCCCCATAAAATCATGAATCACCGAAGGCGGAAATAAAGTACTTCAAAAATAAAACGCCGTCCCGCGCAGGCCTTTTTCGCTCAAAAATCCCCCTGCTGTGAACGTGGACATCTCTAGCATGTCCCTTGCATGTTTCGAGGCTAATTTGACCCACCTTAGCGCGAAGCTGCCGCTCCTTTTCGCCCTCCACTCGGACCCACTGGTTGGAGGAAGTTGAGCTCTCTGCCGAGGCGACGTTCAATAACAGCACGGTCACTCTGAACAGCGCCTCGACCCGCTGCTTCGCCGCAATCAGCTTCTCCCTCACACCGGCTGGGACGACGAACTCACACGGCCCTGACGCCTCTCTCCTCTCCTGGTCAGCCTGCATCGCTTTGGAGGGAAAAAATCGCAAAGTTTAAGCTACAAAACTGCAGCTAGCTGCAAAGACTGCTTCTGTCTCCATGTTGTTCGTCTATGGGCACGAAAGCGAGGCTGGTGGGGTCATTGGGGGTCAACAAACGCGTCAGAGTTGACTTTATACGTCACGCACTACGCACACGCCGCGTCACGCGCGAATTAAAAACTTAGGGGAGTGTCAATTAGGAAAGAAAACACACAAACACTCGAAAATGTTTACCAGCAGTGTGCAAAGTGTGAAACTAAGTCATAAACTTCAAGATTTCGTAACGCGATCTGTGTTTACCAGGCGGTGTGACTCATTCCACTTTGGAAGGAGAAAAGTAGAGGAAGTTGTTGACAGTGTTTTATTGAAGAGTCATAGGGAAGTGCTGATTACACGTACGTACGTAGCACCAACAGAACTCACTGTGAACAGAACTCAACGGACTCCTACGCCGCTCTACGGTCAAAGAACAACAATAGACGCACAACCGAAATGATAACAAAATCACATGAATTAAGTGTGCGAACGTTTCGTTCTCACCGAGATACATTGTATAGCGTTGTTGTTTCCCCTTTCTTGGAAGGCCATATAACGTTACTGTCTTAACATCTGCTTCTTTCGCACCACAAGTTTCGAAGAAAAAAAGAGTCACATGAGGATTGCACAACTTTTTAACGCTAGTCTGCTGGCACTTTCAGTGTCTCTTTTGCTAACTTTACTACCATATACTATAACTTGCCGATGATAACCTTACACTTTTCAAGTCTAAGGTCAACAAACATCTGTCCTCACTGTCTGTACAGTAACCCAAAACATTTGAGTGGCTCCCAAGAGCCTTGTTTTGTGGTGAACTGTGAAGTAAATAAAAAAAGACAGCAGCGCATTTAAGCTTCAAAACTTTGCCTCAAAAGTCTGCTGTGAGATGTTTTAAAAGTCTGATTTGTTACTTAATATACAAAATTGATGTACTGCATTTTTAAAATATCATATTAGTAACTAATTCAGTGTCATTCTGCCAAACTACTAGTATCTGCCTACCTGTTTGGTCATATAACTATCGTATGCATATCAAAAGCATCTTACTACTACGCAGGTTTTCTCCTATGGCCATGGAATCTCTTGTGATACAGATTTGTTTTTCTCGTGGTGGCATCACGGTTTTTTAGGCAACAATTACTTTGAATAAATAAGTGTTGAACACAAAAGAAACTCTCCAATCAAGAGGTTTTGGGTTGAAATTGTGATATTCTTGTATCATATATGCCCCTTTTTCTGTTGTTGTGAAGGGCTAGATGAGGAGTCCCTTTATTTTTGGTACCACCAATAGACAGCTAGAACCAAGCCACGATACGAAACAAGCAACCGTTTTCCGTCAGCGACATCGCATTTTTGGTCAGTGCCATCGGATTTGTCTTCACAGATATCAGTTTGCTACGGAATGGGTTGATTCAACTTACTCATTTAACAAATGACAAGAAAATTGACTTTGAAAATCCAGTTTTACTGCCCTGAAATCGTCTAACGGTTAATTTAACAGAAACGTTTCTCACCTTTCCCATCGCCGTAGTCCTTGTTCCGTGTCATTTCTTGTGTCCTCCTGTCTGTGGCGCTGCTGCTTGTCCTACACATGTCATCAGGTTTGGCTGACTGTGCTCTGAATAACATTCCCTCTTTAATCTTACAAGTCACTGTAAGAGTTCCGCCAAGGAAGTAGCGCTGAGGAAGAAGAGTAACTTATTAAAACAAGCAGCTCAACTTCCGGTAAAAAAAAGTAGTCTGATCTTATCTCTCTCTGTAAAAAAATGAACTATGAGAGAAAAGCACCCTATATATACCTGGCAGTGTTTTTTCTCAGGTAGGTGTCTTGGCTAAATTAGAATGTGACCAAGATGTGGGGTGAGGTGATTTCCAGGTGAACATGAGTCACACGCGGTGACCTTTCTTTCAAAGTCAACATGCGATGTCCCCTGGTTGTGCTTTATGTTTAAAGTCGCGCGGAGGGAGTTGGCAAGGCGCCAGCAAAACTTGAACTACAGGAAAATGTGATAATCCCTGACTGTGAGTATATGGCACGAAAGGCACGGAAATTCCGTGTAGCAAGCACGAAATTACACGCACTAAGAAGCTAGTGTCTCGTGGCTCAATCGGTCACATGACCTATCATACCAGCCTGGTGGATTTCTAGATACTAGTAGTAGAAAGCATTAGAATTTTGTGGTGTAGAAAGCTCAAAGGATCCGGTCCGGTGGCTCAAAGGATTCATGTAACTTCATATATTATACTGCTGGGTTTCCATATGCAGATTTCCGGACAGTAGAGGGCTTGAAAAGTTCGCCTTTGAAACGCAATTTTAAGAACGACAAGGTGCCAACTCATGCTCATACAGAGAAATCTATACAAAGAAAGAAAAGGTGGTATTATGTCGGTGGGCGTATCTCCCTATTTTAAGCTTAGTATAGTTTGGACGTTCAAGCAGGCATGAAGATACGGTTGTGTAAGCATGAAACGCATGGCTTCCAAGAACGGCGGTTTGGAATACAACATAGCAGGAAACCACAGACGCCACAAGGGTAGGCCGGTAAACATGTCACAAGCACCCCCACATCTTTATGAATGAACTTTCTGGTCTACTGGGAACACTTCATGAGAACTAAGTCACTAAAATGTCAGTGGACCTATTCATACAGCAGTGTGGAGGTGTCCGTGTACAAAGGGGTTTACGCCATTCTCATTCTTGAAATTGGTTAACCCTAGGCCCAATTACTCACTGCACTGAAACCATGCAGGGTGGATCCATTCTTTGAAGAATGAAACGTTAGCTTTTTCAGCGCTGATCGACCTTTCGGTCACACGTAGGTTTTGCTCACGGTCGATGGCTCATTTACAAACGGTAGCACCAGATCTAGACATTCATCAGCTTTGTTTATAGCTCTTTTGACACTTAGCGAGGATTTGCTTTGGTAACCGCACGGCTGTATTACGGACTCGTGACTTAAATGTTGACAGGAAACGTTGGCGAGTTTTGCTCCTGATATGGTACTCTTGTAAAAACTTTTACACTCTCCAAGAGGTTTAGTCTTCGGCGTATTTTTTTATGTATTTCTAGGCGTTTTTTAATAGGCTTTCTTTTTTTTTTATCGGTATGGTTAGGCTGTGTGCGTACGTATACCATAACGACTTGTAGCTGAAATTCTAGGAGGTGTGTCGATAACTCAAGGCCTAGATTTTCGGTCTTAATTTTCTGCACTATCACTTTGTTGATCAACGAATGCTAACCAAGAACTCAGAATGAAATATGAAAGTGCACAATACTATATTCTAAAGCCCAGTCCTAGTTCTAGTTCTACAAGGTCAAATTTAATCAACTTGAACATCCAAGATATATCATATGACCGAGGAGGTTATAGTGGAGAGAACGAAATGAACTTTGCGACTTTCATCTTGGTATTGAAAAATGACCTGACTGCCTTTCTAGTTAGGGCGTGTGGTCAGTTTCGTATGATTTGTAGACTCTGCAACGGTTGAATAGGTGTAAAAATTCAAATCGCTCAGTAGAAAGAGAACGACTGACGAAATAATACGTTGTTCCACCCTCCTTCCGACGCTCTTTAACAACTTGTTAGTATTCTAATCGCATTCTTCTTAATCTTAAATCTTAATCACGTTGAATATTAACAGAACTGGAAGTTTGCCTTTGTTATAAGGCACACGTACACTCGGTCGGAAGTATACAATGATTTACGACGTGTAATGTAGCAGGTGTACGAACGTGGGAAATACCACGACATACGTCCCGAGGGAGGGGGGTTCACCTGACTACCCTGAACATTCTCAGAACAACACCTACACTGATGAACGAACAAGCGTACACCGTGACAACATGACTACACGCCCAGAAAATAATCCCTCTCCGAAGGCGTCCTGGCGACAAAAGGCTAGCGCCTACGCCCGGTACCACACCAACAACTGTAAATTGTCCGTCTAGACGTCTTTTATGTACTTTAGTTTTATTTACTTTACTCGGAATCTAACTTTAGAGTCATGGGCGTTTCCCTGGAACGCCATTGAAAGTACGTACAGTCAGGGGCGTTACTTCAATTCAAGGACATCGTATCTACTCCGATGGGGGCGTTCTTTGAAGTTTTCGTAGGTGTGTCCAAGTCTTTGTACCGGGTGCAATAGCCATGACGCTGTGACTCACTTGTATGTGAGTTTGACCTATAGCACACTAAAGTTACTCTCCAAGCAGAGGTTTGGGTTTTGGGGGTATTTTTAGCATGTTTTTAGCCTTTTTTTATCGGGGTTTCTCTTTTGCACTGAATTTTTTTTCCACCAAACCCATGGGTGCAAAAGAGAAACCCCGATAAAAAAGGCTAAAAACATGCTAAAAATACCCCCAAAACCCAAACCTCTGCTTGGAGAGTACACTAAAGTATCAGAATACACAGCTAAATGACCTGCAGGCCGGCAGCTGCCCATGCCGTTTGCCTAGTTCACTTTCAACGTACATAAAGTATAACTTCGTATATCGTACGGTGTTCTATGCAATATGTGGATTAGAAATCAGAAATCAGTTCCCAAGACCAGAACCCTGAATCTTCAGGCGTGTAAGTTCGGCGTGTCATCGTATGTGTTTTTTTTCCTGTTTTTTTTTTCCTCACGTTTCAAGCTTTCAACACTTTTTCCAGGCATGAGCGCAGTCAGTAGTACAGAACATTGTATGCCCATCGCAAGGTTCTAACACTATTTCATGAAGCCTGTGACTTTGCAGCAATTAAGGATCGATAGCGGGCCTTCTTTAACAGAAAATGGACTCTTTCACCCAAAGCTTTATCACCATCTTGTATTTAACCTCCTTGCTTTAACGTACTTCAATTCCCCCTTTGGTACTTCACCAGCCATCGAGTTAGCCTGGGTGCCATCCGATTTGTAACAGCAGCCCCGAATTTTTTTTACAAATCGGATGGCACCCAGGCTACCATCGAGTGACAGATCCGCACACTACCAGTGTGGCAATTAGGTAATGACGTCCAACGCCCACAAATCATTGCGTCATACTTGCGGTTGTAACGTTACAGCAAGGTCAGGCCAGAAGGGTGGTGTTCAGGCTCCGCCTTCCTAGGGGGGTACGGGTCCTAGAATTCGGTCAAATAAGGGAAAAACTTGGCCAGGACAGTCAGTCCGCGAGACGGTTAATCCCCCCCCCCCCTCAAATTAAACTTCGCGGCCAGTCAAACTCCAAGGCGGCCAAACTCCCCTGGCAAATATTCTCCAATATATAGCCAGGGTAGTTAGTCTGGTTAGGGGCGGTATAACCCCGACCAATACGGTCCAATACCAATACCGATGATGAGCTAGTCTGGTAGAGACTAGGTGGCGTGTATAAACCGGCACAGACTTCCTAAACAGAATACGCTTGAACTTACCCCCCCCCCCA